CTGTTACTGGTATGGACTTAAATGCCATTAGAGTCTGGCATAGCATGATCTTCATGTATTCTTTAGATAAAGCTATCGTTATAAGCTCTAAGAGGTTTCAGTCAATGTGTTTAGGATTAGGCTATGCATGTCTAAAGCCACTGATGTGATTTAAAAAAAAAAAAAAAAAGCCACTTCTTGACGTAAAATCTCGGTTATTTCAGGATCTCAATGTAATGCATTGTAAATAAATAAATCACATTATGTGTAATGGCAGTTCTTTTGGGGGGCAGACCCGTATGTGATTACAATAAAATCTAAAAAAATTCAATCTTAAATATTTCGCTATTTTGCCGTAACAAGAAAAAAATTTCAGTGCCTTATCTTTCCTCGACTCCCCATCTGAAAGCACATGGGACTTTTCAAACTGGAATTTTGATTCTGGGAAAATGAATTTGTCTGACAGCTACCTTAAATTTCTTTGTTGCATTTCGTTAGGCTACTAATAATTATATAATTTTTTGTTGTTGTTTTGGGAGCTTTTGTTTTGCAGCAGTGAAGCTGACTTAAGTAATTTCTGGCTTCTTCTGGTCCCTGCTATGCAGTTTGGTTTCCACTTTATCAATAATGCTGTTGCAACTCTTTGTGGGAGCTGCATTTGTAACCTGGATTAAAGAAATGATCCAACCTTAAAAATAATGTTACAATTGTCAGATATTTTTAAACTAGATCGTTAAAATGATCTATGCTTTTTGCTATGCTTTTCTTTCTGTTACGAGAGTGGAAGAAACTTTAATGAATATAGAATATTCTATACCTTATACAGAATATTATATGTATATATAGAATATATATAACCCTTATCAGGTAGATTAGGAGAAATTGAGTAAACAGTAATTTAATCATCTTTTCTGTGTAATAGAGGTTGTACATGTAGTTAACGTGTTTACTATATTCTTCCACTTTTGACTCCTCTTAAAACACATAAAATAGTCTAAGAGCACTCGTTTTAGATTTTACAGGCTCTGGAACCACTGTAACTGGAGTGTAAGGGACTAGGATTGCAGCATCTAAATTGAATTGCTAAAAATGCTGTAGAATAACAAGTCGTTTCTAAAAAAAAATTAATCCTTTTTCTTTCAAAACTGTAGGCTTTATTTGTATCTAAACAAGTTTATTAGGTGAGAATCTGTTAAGTATGGAACTTTTACATTTTAATACCATGTCCCTTTAGAATAACTAGCAAAGCAGCATCAATTGTAATGCTGTTTGTGGAGTGTATTTTTTCAGGCTATTAATTCCTTTTAATATATGTTACCTTTGGCAGGCTATTTGAACTGTTTGTACAGTTTGTATATATATATATAACATATCTGATTAAATTCTTTTGAAGGCATTTGAGTTACAACAGCTACAGTTATGCCAAAGTGGTGTTTAGAGAAAACACAGATAGGCATTGAAATAGACTTTTTACTATACTACTTTCAAAACAGAGGCAAATAATTAGTCTCCACTGCACAGGGGAAGGACAGGCATTTATAATGTGTGTAGTTACTTCTGGTTATATAGCAAGTTTTACTTGGAATACTGACTTTAATTAAAACTTGCTGCCTTCTCTACACCAAAGTAACGCGTTTTCGATTGCAGGAAACTGATAGCTCTTCAGAAATAAAAGCCTTACAAAAACTGTGCGTCTTCTGCTCCAAGACTGCTTTCAACAAAGTAGGCATTCATGTTGCCTTTCTTCTCAGAATTCTTTATATGCGTTAAACACTGGCAATTCTGAGAAGTCTGAACAGCAATTTAGAGTTCAAATAGTTGGAATGGATTAGCCCTTTTTCCTTTCAAGTAGTATATGTAACGAAAATTAAAATCTACTTCATGCGCTAGTGTAAAGTTCAGGAAGCAAATGAGATGTCAGATCAGTTACATTTGCCACCCTTGCAGTTCCCCCACCTCCCAAAAAATCATATAATACCCAAACTTCTGTTCAGTTGCTTATAAAAGCAGGGCTTAATTACCCTTGCTAACAGCATATTTTTGACAATTAATGAGTAAAACCAGTCCTCATTATATTTTATTGTATTTTAAAAATTGTTAGTTAAGTTAGAATCTGGCCAGAAAGGGTTCTCCATGAACTCTGATATGTTTCTCCTGATTTAACAGTACAGTTTTGTTGCCTCAGGGCATTAAGCTTTATTTAAAAATGAATTGATCAGCTAGTGCTTTGATCTTCCAAATGCAAAGTAAAAAGACAACTTGTACCTTTAGTGTCTGCACAAACACTGTAGGTCATGCTGTAGTCTGTCACATTGGTCAGTCTATCTTGACCTTGTTTACACTTTGATTCATACCATGCTCGTGGCTGATATTAAGCTGAACTTCACAGAATTTTGATATGAAAAGTAGTAACGTATTGTCTTGTTATGTGTGCTCCACTCTAGTATTGTTAACGTCTTTTCTCAAGAAAATAGCATCATAGAAAAATAATGTTTTTTCAGGGTTATTTAAGATAACTAGTGATTTTACTGTGATGGAAGTGACACTTAACTGTCCATGGCTCACAACACTATGAACACAACTACAGTAAGCATAATGAATGCTGTACTCACAGTGGCTTTACATCTTGCATCTGTTATCTTTCCAAAAAAGCAGTGTTGAAGTCACTTTTGGCCTGCTATGATGAGAAGATTGGCTTGGTGGATGAGGGGAGAGCAGTGAATGTTGTTTAGTTTGACTTTAGTAAGGCTTTTGACACTGTCTCCTATTGCATCCTCACAGACAAACTGATGAAATGTGGGCTGGTGGTCAGTAAGGTGGATTGAAAACTGGCTGAACTGAAGGTTGCAATCAGTGGCATGAAGTCCAGCTGGAGGCTGGCGACTGGCAGTGTCTCCCGGGGTTGATACTAAGGCCAATACTGTTTAATGTCTTTAAAAATGACCTGGATGTTGGGACCAAATGCACCCTTAGCAAGTTCACAGATGATACAAAGCTGGGAGGACCAGCTGCTGTACCAGATGGTTGTGCTGCCATTCAGAGAGACCTCGACAGGCTGGAGAAATGGGCAGAGAGGAATGTCATGAAGTTCAACAAAGGGAAGTGCAGAGTCCTTGCACCTGGGGAGGAATCACCCCATGCACCAGTACATGCTGGAGGCTGACTGGCTGGAGAGCAGCTTTGCAGAGAAGGACCTGGGGGTCCTGATGGACAAGTTCAACAAGGTGCCCAGTGACAGGACAAGAAGCATAAACTGAAACACAGGAAATTCCACTTGAGCCTGAGAAAACACCTCTTTACTGTGAGGGTGGTTGAACACTGGAACAGGTTGCCCAGAGAGGTTGTGGAGTCTCCATCCTTGGAGATATTCAAAACCCAACTGGATGTGGTCCTGGGCAACCTGTTGTAGGTGACCGTGCTTGAGCAGTGAGGGTTGGACTAGACGATCTCCAGAGGTCGCTTCCAACCCCACACATTCTGTGATTCTGCTGTTATCAACCTCTGTATTCGCTTCTGTTCTCTAAGACGCTAGTCCTGCAATATGTTTCATGAGATTATCACATCTTCCAAATGTTTGATCTAACCCTTTATCATCACGAATGGTTGTATTCTATTTTTACTCCTTTTCCCTGCAGCTATCTTAGCTGTGACTTGACTAATTTAGTTATCTGGTCAAATGTAAGCTCTTAGTCTTTTCAGGTAAAAGAAAGTACAAACAAAAGTAGAAGTTGTTTATATACTTAAAGCTAGACAATTCATGATTAGTTTGCAGAAGGAAGGCCAAAAAATTTGGAAGTTATCTTCCTTTCTCTGTCTGTCTGTCTGTCTGTCTCTCTCTAAATTCTTTGATGGTCTTTGCAAAAGTGGATGCTTCTACCAAAACAGAAACTCCTTATTGAGCCTCTTACCTTTTCTATTGTATTCTTCTTGTTTTTCAGTACAAGTATAAATCTCTAGCCTTTATGATTTGAATTTGCAAATTATTTTTTTTCATCTAATGATCCTCTTTTCCACCCCTCTCCTGACATCCTCTGACATCCTCTTTGGTCTTTCCAATAGTAGGCTATTCAATGTATGTTTTCATACTTCTTACTCCTTTCTTTCCTCATCAGGAAAACTAGAGTGAATCCTGTGGTAGTGAAGAACAGTATTTTTAACATACATAACAGATATTAATTTTGATTTTTTTCCCCTCATGATACCTGTACTTCAGACTGAACAAGAATGACTGGTTTTTTTTTTAAGAAGATAGTCTCATCTAAGATTATGAAGAGAAAAATTAAATTTCAATCAGAATACATCTTCCTCTTCTGTATCTTGATCCTGACTGCTTATCCTTTTAGTCTTTTCTTACGTATTTTCTATTTCTCTGGTGCTCTTTTAGGGTAAAGCCCATGTTGTAGGTAATTGGCATCATTCAAAGATAGAAGGAATGAATATACGTAGCATGTTTAGTATATTTTTAACCCAGATTAGAGGTTTAAAAGGGCTTGGCATGCATTTTAGGGAAGAGAGGAGACCTCATGGTTATCTTTCTTATATTGAAGCTTTACATATGCTCTGAAGTGAAAGCAGCGAGTAATTGAAAGCATTTTACACTTTTTAAAAATAGGTTTAAAATATTTTAATTGTATAAACTTGATACTGTCTAAACTGAATGTTCAAATTCATGTGTGAGTGCTGTGCTGCTTATTACATTAATGGACAGTTTAGAATATAGGCATGATTTCAGAGCGTACATGCTGGGATCTTTTGTCTTATAGTAAACTTAAAGGTATTACTGAAAAATTGTGGAAGCAATACATATAGTATTTATGTGCAAGATACTTCTTAAAACTTGAAGTAACTTATGGTATGTTTGTGACGTGTTCCTTGATACTAGGAAGACAACAGGCTTTTTTTTGCATATACCCTAGAAATAAGCAGTATTTCTACATTTTAGCATTAATTCAAATAACATTTTCTAGTTCTAAAGGTGTGCATTCTTAAATGACATGTATTTACAATTTTTTTTTTTTAAGGCTAATATTCAAGCATCAGAAACTCTTAAGACTGAAAATGATGATCTGAAGAAGAAGCATGATGAGGCTGCTTCAAAAGTTCTCCAGCTGGAAGAAGATATCATGACTGTTACACAAAAAGCCATTGCAAAAGAAACAGAGTTAGACAGGTATTTAGTTGTTTGTCTCTTACCTTCCATTTTTTACTACTTATTTCCACAGGTATTCTTTTAAAGTATATACTTCTTAATATATGAATTAATTGTCTTTAAGAGTTCTGTTTACTAAGAAATTTGTTAATTTCTTAGTCTGAAGGACAAACTGAAGAAAGTAATTCTTGAGAAGGAGCAACTTGAATGTGTCTTAAAGACAGAAAAGGATGAAAAAGAACTTTATAAGGTAATTTATCCCTTCTCCTTGTATACATTGAAATGAAGTGGCTTGAAATAAGGGTAATAACATTTTATAGAGAGGTGTGATAAATTGGATGTTGAGGCAGAAAGGAAATGGGTCATTTCTGTGAACACATTTTTAAGACAGTTATAAATGCTCCTGGATAACATTGGATGAAGAAAATAGCATTTGAATTTCTCCAAGGGTATAAAAATGTCCCTAAGAAGGAGGATGTATAACCACTTTGTTAAAATGCAAACGCAGTAACCTAAAATAGTAGATGCTACTGAGGTAGTTCTTTAATTCTACAATGCATCGTCCAGTAATTGATTGTCTTAACACAACTGTGAAAAAGTAAATTGCTTTTTACTACTGTAAATTCTTTCTCCAGAGTGTGTTTTCTAGATCCCTATTCTTGAGTCTGGTGCATAACTTTGAGAAACTGTAGCAGGATCTATGTTGCACTGATTTTACAAGCAGAGCCGACTCCTTTTGCTGATATTGGGAAGCAGCCTTATTATAAAAAGAGTCTCACAAATAGTTTTAAAGCCCAGAACTGTTGGCTAGTTGAAGTGAGCTGTTGGAACCAGCCTGAGTACAACAAGCATGTATACTTGATTTTTATATTGGCCTGCTGTACTAGCGTGTCTAATTTGATGCGACCCCGCGCTTAGAAAAGTAGCTGCAGAAACCGATCAGCCTTTAGAAATGTCATCCCTAATCTGACTTGAGCTGGTGGCTGTTAGTTTTCATACTCCTCTTGGCAAAAAAATCCTTTATCTGGCTCATATGCTAGGATGAAGAAATGTTTAGGTTGTGAAGCAAATTGTATGTGTTGAAAAGATTATTTGCCTTCATAGGAAAAGGTCTTTATGTGGCAGACAATGTTAGATTTACTCCAGAAGTTATCTTAAAATCTCAAAACGTCTTTCAGAAGCGAGGTATTCCGTTGTGAGTAAATGGCACAAATCTTTTAGCGTTTGAGTGGACAACGCTTGAGTACAACAGTTTTCACTTAGTAGGCATAAGAAGATATACTTGGTGACATCTTAAAAAACAGCTCTAGGGTTGTGAAAGTAGTTTGCTGTCTTTGGAGCCACATATAGCTGTTGCAGTCCTGTTTACTTAGGTGATTGTAAGTAGATGCTACTAGAAGATGAATTTCTTTTTAGCTTTCTTCCAGTAATTTTAAAGGGTGTGTAGCTTTCCTGCATTTGTGAAGAGAGGAGTTAGTTTTCAAAAGTTTAGCTTGATGTGGACAGAAATCAGGGGCTGAACCTCTAGCTGTAGAGTGGAGCTGTTGTTAGATGATCCAGCTGATGAAAAGATTTGTGCTGCGAGGGTAGTGATATTACCAAATGTTTAATTTTTCTCTTTACCTATTCTAATCTGAGATGAGTTAGAATTTAGTAAACACTTAATTGAACAGATAGTAGTCTTTATAATGTGGAAGAAGAGTTTGACATTTTTTAGCATCATTACAGATACACTTGAAGAATACAGAAATAGAAAACACCAAACTAGTAAAAGAGATCCAGACGTTTAAGAATTTGGATGCAAACAAAGAAAACATGATAACGTATTATAAAGAGGAGGTTGGCAGATTACAGCTATTTATAGCAGAGAAAGAAAGTATGAAGAAAGCTTTTTTACTCTCCTCATCCAACAAGGTAAGCATTACTAATATAATTGGCCTGGTTAAAAATAAGTATTTCTAAAGTTTGTAAAGTTTGTAAGTCTTTGACAAAAGAAAGGAGGAAGTTGAAGATACCTCCAGGGTATAGGCCGAGAGGCAAGAGACTCCTTGTTTTCTCAGCAGAGAGAGAAAATGAGCAAAGAAGAAAGTTAATTAGTTTTGCTCACTCCGAGCATTTTGAGAAGAGTTTGATACCTGATGAACTGTGAGATAAGCTAGATGTAAAGAATTAGTTGGTCAATTCAGTAAAAATGGCGTATTCCTGAGAGTTGCTTGTAACTTCATAAAAAAAGGACAGAGTGAGAAAAAGAGAAAAGGATGTGGCCGTGTTGAGACTGCAGAGGGTAAGGACGTGCTGAAAGACGTGCCGGAGGGCTTGTTAGGTGAATGTACTGTCAATATATGACAATGTAAAACCTCAGGAAGGATAAGATGCC